AGACAAAGTGAGCTAGAAAATCTCGTTAGTCTTGAAGGTAATAGGGGATTTGAATTTTGTTCCAGTTTAGTCAGTTTTCAAATGTATTTATGTAATTCAGTTCTGCTCAGTCCATTACATGTTTAACTTAGCATTGCCGACTCTTAAAAGGCAGTAACTATCCCAAAGTCTTGGACTGGGGTCTTTTACCACTCTGCTGCCTGCATTCCTTTGAAACTGGGACACTATGCATGCTAAGTAGACGCTGTCCCACTGAGCTGTATTTTTACATGCTAGTCTTGCCTGAGGTTCTCAGAGACTTCCCCTTCAAGGGAACGTTGAAGCCAGCACCAGCTTAGTTTCAAGCCTCAGTTGCTTTGAGATCATACACTGAGCGCTGTTACCTTGAGCGTATAGGGAACAGAGATTTTAAACCTAAATTCTGGCTGTTGTTGATTCTCTACAGTGTAACCTATAGTACTTAGGTGCTGTACATAAAATAAAGAGAGCCCGTTTGGTGTAGCGGTTAGGAGCACAGACTCTAATCTGGGAGAACCAGGTTTGATTCCCCAGTTCTTCCCATGTAGCTGCTGGTGTGACCTTGGGTCAGTCACAAGCTCTCTCAGACTTATTCACTCACGAGCAGTTCTCGAAAGAGCTCTCTCAGCCCCACCTATCTTACAGGATGTCTGTTGTGGGGAGGGGAAGGGAGAGGAAAGGAGATTGTAAACTGCTCTGAGACTCCTTCAGGTGGTGAAGGGCAGGGTATAAATCCAGTCAACTTATAGCTCCAGATTTGCGCAGAGCCATCTCCTTGGCCAGATTTAATGTTCTTCCTTCTGCTCTTCTCTCTGGCAGATTCCAGGGGATCCCCTACTCCAGCAGGTGTTGTCCTTGTAAGAAGGACTTTGTTGAAACTGTCTCCCATGTTCTCCTTCAATGACCCTTTTATCTGGTGCCCCACCAGGATCTTCTGTATCCTATATTAGCTCAATTCTCAGAAATTCCTGGCGATTTTAAGGTTCTGTTTTTGCTTGATAATCAAGATGCGGAAATAACCGAGATAGTAGCAAGGTTTCTTCTTAGTGCTGTGGCTATACGTTCTGATAAGTAACCATTAGGTTTTTCTGCTTTCATGCTGTTTTTCTGCGCCATAGCTCCAATTTTACCCTATATGGATTTGTATTTCCCGATCTATATTTAATCTGATCTCCTATTGTGTGTATATACGTATGCCAATAAAGGCTTGTCGAATGTAAATGTAAAATCCAATCTCCACCTCCTCTACAAAAAATAAAGACCTGCAATCTTTCCACAGGCTTACAGCTGAAGACACTTTGGCCTCCGTCAGTGCTCCCTCTAAGCTGTGGAGTCTTGTGAGCAAAAAATTCTACTTTGTGAGCCCACTGGCATTAAAGTTGTGAGCGAGTGATTTGGCAGCTACCTAAACTAGTTTCCTCTGGAGCCATCCCTTCCTGAGCCAAGACAAAAATGTGTGAGCCGTAGGCTAAAAAAGTGTGAACTAGCTCACACTAACTCATCTTAGAGGGAATACTGGCCTCAGTACTATTTGGGAGCAGGTTCCATTGCATCAAGCTGTGTTGGAGACATAAAGGAGTGGAGAGAAGAAGAAGAGATTGGATTTATACCCCGCCCTTCACTTGGAGTCTCAGAGTGGCTTACAAACTCCTTTCCCTCCCCCTCCCCACAACAGACACCCTGTGAGGTGGGTGGGGCTGAGAGAACTCTGACACAAACTGCTCTTTTTCAAGGACAGCTGTGCCAGAGCTTGTGACTGACCCAAGGTCACATCAGCAGGTGCAAGTGGAGCAGTGGGGAATCAAACCCGGTTCTCCCAGATTAGAGTCCGCACACTTAACCACTGCACCAAACTGGAGAAAAGGAAGGGGAGAGTTTGAGAACGCTAACAGGAAAAGCCGCATTTTTAGTAGACAGTCAATTCAGGTGGGATCGGACTGCCCTGTCTAGTGATAGAGCATTCCAGCAGCTCTTAGACCTGTCACCTGGACCTGAATGCATTTCCCCTCGCCCCTATCCTTACAAGGCAACTTATGGTTTATTTTATTCTTATTTAAAACGTTTCTCTGTTGCCTTTCCACCCAAACAGGGTCCCCAAGGTGGCAAACATCAAACCATTAATCTATTTCAATATAAGAACAGCATTTAAAATGGAGTATATAGAGAATAAGCAATTGAATAAACATTTGTAAACATGCAAACACAGCAATATGTTGTCGAAGGCTTTCACGGCTGGAGTTCATTAGTTGTAGATTTTCCGGGATGTGTGGCCATGGTCTTGGCATTGTAGAACCTGACGTTTCGCCAGTAACTGTGACTGGCATCCTCAGAGGTATAAACACGGAAAGATGGAATACTCTCTTTGTCAAGGTGAGAAGAAAATGGTAGGCAGGAAATTTATATCTACTCCAGAAGGTGGGGTAGGGCTGAGTCATTGTCTTGTAGGAGTTCCCCAGGCTATGGACATGCTAATGGAGGAGCTTTCCTGAGGAGGTTCTTTTGTTTCTTGAAGAGGTTTCCTGCTTCCTGAGGAGGTTCTTTTGTTTCTTGAAGAGGTTTCCTGCTTCCTGAGGAGGTTCTTTTGTTTCCTGAAGAGGTTTCCTGCTTCCCGAGGAGGTTGTTGAAATTCTAATCTTATCTGACTGAAGGCAACCCTGTGAATTAATTATCTCCAGAACATCCTATCGCCAACAGCCTTGCTCAGGTCTTGCGAACCGAGGGCCCTTGTGGCTTCCTTGATTGAGTCAGTCCACGTCATGTTGAGTCTTCCTCTTTTCCCGCTGCCTTCAGGTTTTCGTAGTGTTCTTGTCTTTTCCGGTGGCTCTTGTCTTCTCATAATAACAGTTCCTGGGGCTATGCTAACAAAACAAAAGTATCTCCACCCGCTGGTGGGAAGACAGTGGTAGAGGAATCTCCTTGGGGAGGAAGTTTTAAAAGTTTGGCTCCATGACCAAGAAGACTCATTGTTGGGCTGACACCTGTCTAGCACCCAGAGCAAGGCCTCTGAAGATGACCAGGTTGGATGGGTAGATTCATATGGCAGAAGGTGGTCCTTATAGGAACCACATAGTTTCCACAGAGTTCTTTCTGAGAGGAAGAAGAAGAAGCAACTTTCCTTCAATTGTCGCGTCAATGTCCAGGGGCCAGATGGGCCATTTGTTTGATGTTGCTCATATCCCGTATGTTACATTTTTGTACCACCCTTCTTTTAAGGGCAGGGTAAGAAGACACGGCCTCCCAGTTCGGTGTTGTGGTTAGGAGCGCGGACCACTGTAGCCCCTGCCGTCGAAGCGACAATTGAAGGAAAGTTTCGAGAATTGCTCGTGAGAGAACAGCTCTGAGAGAACTTGTAACTGGTCTACAGCAGAACAGCCAGATTCCAGTCCAGACGACATTTTGGTAATAAGCATTTGAGAATTGGAGCTCCCTTTGTCAGATACTGGTTAATCTTGTTGGTCTCCAAGTTCCTATTGCACTCAAACTGGGAAAAAAGGGGGGGGGAAACTCAACCCAAGATAACACTGCGAACCAGAAGGGTTAAGCTGACCATGTAAATTATAAAAGTACAAAATTTATTAGGGTGTACACATATTAAAATATATTCGGGTTAAAATTCTTTTCCCCAAGTATCAGACTAATAAAAGCATATCAAATATTAATACACATGAATGGGTCAACACTTTCCAACTGAAGACCAAACGCGTTTCGGCCTCACAGGGCCTTCCTCAGTGGTCACTATTACAACATAGTATAGACACACATTCAAACATATGTATACAAGATCTTTAGTACACTTATATAAAGACCAGATGTTGTATCCTGAAATTATAAAAATGGAGGGGAGGGGAAAAGAAACTCAAATTATTATTTCAAATGTATACCAAATCCTTATTAATTTCAACAAATGATTTTTTCAAACTAGAATGACC